AAGGTAGGGGAGGGTGGGGGTAAGGGGGAGAGATCAACCAAAGGACTTATATGCAAGCATATAGGCCTAACCAATGGTCACAGACAACAGGGGGGTGAAGGCATGAGTGGGGGGATGGGGGGTAACGTGGGGATAAGGACACATATGTAATAACTTAATAAAAAAAATTAAAAAAAAAAGAATGCAAAGAATAAAGCAAAACATGTTAATGAGGGGGAAAAAAAAAGATACCAGGGCATGAAAGGGTCAGACTGCATTGGAGATGTGGCCATTGAACACTGGAAAAACAGGGAGTTTGGGGGCACACAATGAATAAGTAACAAGTGCTCCTGTATTTTGGCAATATGCATCAGGAACCCTACCCGAGGCCAGAGCTGCAATATATTCCAACATATATATGCACTAGAGGCCCGATGCACAAAATTCATACAAGAGTAGGCCTTCACAGCCACGGCAGCTGCCTCAATCCCTCCCTTGCAGCTGCAGCTGCAACCCCAGCTTCGTCCAGAAGGTCATCCAGAAGGACGTCCATACGGCCGTTCGGTCAATTTGCATATTATGCTTTTATTATTATAGATTATAGATTATAGATTATAGATTATTATAGATATATGTTAATACTTTTCACTGGTATTTGTTAAGCTGTACAATAAAAACTATTAAACACTGTACCCTTTAACAAAGTAACTCCACATCTGGAAAATCCAGCCTAGCAAAACAAGTCAGGAGGAGTGGAAAATTGAGCCATAAGGCTGCTCATTGCAGCTTTTCTTGTAACTGGAAACCACCTAAATATGCAACAACAGAAAGCAGGCCAGTAAATTATCATGCCTTCATAAAATATTGTATCATGCTACCATTAACGCTGGCTTTTCTTCTGAAATGGTAATGGCTTTGCAGCCCTCATAAAAACTGATATGAGTCTCTGAAAAGTTCATCAGTAAGATGAAATTTCATGAAGATGAAAGTTTAGAAAACACCCAAATTCCACGTTGAGGTAACCAATGCTTAGCATTTTATAGACTGACCCCCACATACACACACAGCAGGGGAGTGAGAATTAAACATTGAGCTGCCCTCCATCAAAATCTGACCGCATGCCAGACGCCCTATAAAGGACTCTGTCTCTTCACAAAGCCTTGCACAGATTAATGCTAGCCCATCGCCAGTTCCCATCTCCCGGCTGGGCTGCAGCGCCTGGAACCTCCCCCAGAGCTGACCCGGGGCCTCGCACCCTCGCTGCCTATGCCCAGCTCCCTCGGGACCACCCTGTGGCCTCGTCTGTGTCACACAGAAACCCAGAGTGCCCTGTTCAAAGGCTGTGGAGCACGGCATCAAAGGCATGGCACACTGCAGGTTATTAGCTCAATCCCATCTCTGTTGAACCTCCAAGCTGCTAATTTATCATATATTTTAAGAAATTAAACATTTATTAATACTTAGGATTAATATAAAGTACGATGCATAATGTATAATGTTATACGATATGAAAGTTAATAAACCCATCTTTATCTTTAAAATACTAGGAGAAATGCTTAGGATGACAATTCTCTGTGGGACTGCCAGTCAAAGGATAAATGCACACGGATTTAAATAACAAAGCTTCATTAACAGAAAAAATACAACAGTAGAAAGCAAAGAGAAAAAAGCAGAGAACAGAATTATCTATGTACACTGAGACCTCAAGTGTGTTAAAACGGAAGGAATGACAGAGAAATACTGTCACTTAGGCTGCAGCAGTGGGGCTCAGGGGTGTGTGCCCCACTTCACTGTGTGCGACTTTTTAGGATGAAGAAACCAGTAAGAAAGCTTCTTTCCACTCAGGGGACAAGCTATGCGTGTGTGACGTGCCTGGGGTGGGACAGAGGGGTGACGCTGCTTCCAGGGCTCGGGCCCCACTGTCTGCACAGTAAGTCCAATTCTCAACAGCCGAGGAACTGAGGTTGTTTATATGAAAGCCGGGGAGCTTCCCGTTGCCAGGTGACAAGGTGCCCCCCCCACCCCCGCCCACCCAACCTGCCCAGAACTGCAGTCAGTCACCTGGCAGAAAGCCTTGTGCCGTTAGAGGTTGAAACCGCTGACGTGAGGAATACGCTGCCGAGTGATCCCTGAGCCATTTCTGAAACGAGAAGGAAGATAAAACAAACATCACCAAGCGGAGACCACAAGAAATGGGCGCTCGTGCTGAAACAAGAGGGCCTGGACACCTCTGACCGGCCCAGCGTTTTCTGCACTGCGCCACCCGCCACGAAGCAGCACTGCTCTTCCAGGGCGTGACCATGGGGCCAGTCCTCTGTAAGGAGGCTCGGAAGTCCTTAATTTTCGTGTAGTCACCAGTGACAACGAAGCTATTCCACTGAAACTTCATGTCGTCATACAGGAGAAAGCGAGAGCTGAGAGGGAGGAGGACTGACATCTGCTTACTTTGCTGCAGTGACCTATCAGCTACCTCAGGAGACACATCCACGCCTATTAGACTCCTCAAAGAATTTCCTTCTCTTCCTTTTGGGGCCCTACCTGGAAGGTGAAGTCATGGCTCAACACCTTTATCGTATAAGCTGCAGGGCCAAATCCACAAAATGCCACTTAGGAATTCCCAGCAGGGAGGGGCCCGCCAGATGGCTATCCTGCTGTCCATGCCCATTCCTGGGGTCCCCAAGACCCTCTCAGGTCCCCACTTGTCCTTGCTCTTGGTGCTGCACACCTGAGCCATCCTCAGTAGAGGAGGGCCAGGTGCCTGGGGCTAGGGAACTGTCCTCACTCTAGCCACTCGACCACCACAGTTACCGGGGCCGACTGACCTGTCACATAGGGTTCCAGTGCTTTCGGCACCAAGCTTCTTGCCATTTTCAGGTCTTCAGCAGAGCAGCTTCCGGACTCCAGTCCATAGGCCATCCCCATGCGCTTCAGCACTTCTATGTCGTCATGGATTTCAAACGTGTTGTCAAAATTGAATAGATACTCGAATCTGGAGGAGAAAGTCCCTGTTAGAAAAGTGCCAACTGCAAGACGGAGACGGCCATGCTTGGTTCAGGGGCTCTGACCATTCCTCAGGTGCCCTTCCATCTGGCGTCTTCACAAAATCCATCAACTCAGAAACAATGACCCGAGAGACTCAGGCAGCATCGCTAACCACCGTCCACACTCTGCGGGCACATCCCGGCAGGCTGGTCTACCCTCAGCTCTGCCTGCCTGCCCCACAGGACCAGCAGTGAGCACCCTCTACTGGTTGTGCTATGTCTGAGCAGCTGTCCTAACAACGATCCTAACAGGTGCGATTTACTTTCCTTCTAAAAGAGAGATGCCTGCCCAGCCATGGTGGCTCAGTGGTTGAGCGTCGACCTATGAACCAGGAGATCACAGTCGTATTTTTGGTCAGGGCACATGTCCAGCAGGGGCATACAGGAGGCAGCAATCAATTATTCTCTCTCATCATTGAGGTTTCTATCTCTCTCTCCCTCTCCCTTCCTCTCTGAAATCAATAAAAAATATATATTTAAAAATGAGAGAGAGAGATACCTAATCAGGGAAAAGAGAAGCAAATTTCTAAATTAATTATGCTAAAAAGATTATATTTAAAAATTACAGATACTTATATAAATAAATTGACCAGCAGTTAACACCAATGACTGTGGCATTCTTCACTTCTGACCTGAGACTCCCAGCTGAGACCATGGGGCCAACAGACAACCTTCTACCTACTTGTCATTAGAAATGCTGCAGTCGATGACGGTCTTCTTGCTGGTGTTCACAATGATGAAAGGCAGGTGGATGACAGAGTTGGGCGGAGGTGGCCGGTTGGCCTGCTGCTCTGCCTGGCGGTTTCTCTGCACCAGATTCTTGAAGGCAATTTGCTAAAAAAAAAAATGAGCAATCAACACATGACTCATATCAGTCGCCACCAAACCTAACACCTTCTCCCCAGGCATCCTCAAAAACCCTCCCTGGGCCCTACAGGACAGCAAGAGGGTCTGGGCTCGCCTTTGGAGATCAGAGAAAACAACTGAGGGGCTGAAGGCCCCGGTGAGCTGCCCAGCAAAGAAATGCATCCTAAAAAACCAAATCCCCCGAGAACTGAAACTGCCGAGACCCACACTCACACCATTTAGACAGAAACACCCTCGAAGAGAAGGATGAGGAGAAATGCATCCATTCTGGAGGTTATGGTCTGCCCACCCCTGTCTGGGGAGGGGTCTGCGAGTGCCCACGCCTGGCCCATCCACGTGTCACGCCTTAGAAGGCAGACATTCAGGTGTGGACCTGTAGCTTCCCAGGAAAGCAGAAACGCTCGATGGACCTGCTGGTAAAGGGTGTCTCCTCCGGGGACATGGGTCCTTATTTGAGGCCTAAAGCCAGAAAGCCAGGGCCTCAGGCCCTGAAATGACGTTTACCTTCAAGATAATTTTCTTGCTGTTAATGTAAAGCCAGGAGGATTCCCTCCCTCCCCAGCCAGCCTTCTGCCGAGCTGCCCAGCACTGGGACCAGGAGCTCCAGGCTTAGTGGGAGAGGCAGCGACTTGGATTTTTTTTTAAGTAGCTATGATGTGCTATGGATGCAGAAAAAGAAAACAATTCATTCTGGAGGGGACAACTGAGTGGAAGAACTTGGAAGTCCAGAGGGGCCACTGCCTGGGGCAACCTCCTGTCCCAGCAGAATCCGTGACCATTTATTTGCTCTTCCATTTCCCAAGTCCCCTCTGACCCGCAACCCTGGCTGTGACCACCCCCCCCCCCCCCCCCCTGCCAAATCATCTCCTCAGCTGGTCCCCCTCTTTTGGGGGCAATGGAGTAACCCAGAGTACAGTAAGGCCTCCCCATGCTGAACGTGCCTGGCCTGGGCGAGGCACACACCCTTTGCAGTGGACCCTGGGCTCGCTGGACGCTGGGGCAGATGTACCAAGCCCCACGGTGACCCCTCCTGGACTTCTCCCATGTTCTGAGATCTCTAACCTCAACTGCTAGGCCTGTCCTCAGACCCCACCCCCACCCCCAAGGGTCTCGCTACCACAGCTTCTAATACCCCTGACCCTCTGGTTTTTGGACACATGCTCCCAAGGCTCCACAGTGGCCTCCAACCTGACCACAAGGCCCATGGCCTTGCTGCCCTTGGGGTCCACAAATATCTCAATAAATTGCTGCTAAGCCATCCTTCCCTTTACTGACCAATCACCACTTCTGCTGGCTGCTGGCCCCGTGCCCCAGGCAGCGACCCCAGGACTGTGCTGCCTCAGTCTAGGGACCAGCCAGTCCCCCTCCACCAAGATCCTTACACATGTGTTTGAGTATTTGCTTCTAACCCAGAACATGCATCCTCAGGACCCTACAGGGGTGAGGCTGATGCTCAGCGATCTCTCTGCAGGCCCAGGGGATGCCCACACAGCTCACTGTCCGCCTACGTCTGAGAGGACAGGAAATGGGCACATGGACACCTGTTCTCTGACCATGTGTGCTCACCTCTGACCAGTAACTGCCACCTCAGGCTCACTCTGCATCTCACACCCCTGGTCTGGGGTCTGGTACTCAGAGCACACTTTACACACACCCCAGAGAATTTGTACATGCTCCCTTCCTGAGGGACTATCACTCCTGCCATTTGGACACTCTGTGACAAGTGATGCACTCACTCATGGTCACACTCACACATGCATGCATGCTCATACGTGTGCTCTTACATGCTCGCATACTCTCACAAGCACACACTCACGCTCACACAATCTGTGGCCACAAAGCTCATGTTCGTGATCGTTCGTATCAACGACACACTCACAGGATGAGCCCAGTGAATATTTATGAAATTCACATCCAAAACCTCAAAGCAGAGATTTTATTCACCATGTAGGAATAGAATAAATTGCAAGTTACTAAAGACATTAAAATTACCTTGCCTCCAAAGATAAGCCTTTCATTACCTGTAGAATAAGTTCTTGAAGTTGAGACTGTTTCTGTTTTATTCTTTCAAGTCTTCTTTGTCTCTCTACCTTCAAAAACAAACCACCAATACGAGAAGTTGGTTTAATACAGCAGAGTTTAAAGCCCGTATTAACACAAGGTCACCCAAGCAGGCTCTTGAAAAATGTGTTCACCCTGAATCTAATGATGGAAAGCAGACCAATCTAGAGCACGGCACATGAGACAAGACACAGGCAAGTTTTTCTTCAATCCAAAATCTGCATACTTTTCTCCCGTCTTCTCTCATTTTCCGCATACGGCTACAGTATATTTTTAAAATCCGGGTCCTGACAGGATAGCTCAATTGGTTCAAGCGTTATCCCTATATGCCAAGGTTTCAGGTTTAATCCCCAGTCAGGTCACATACAAGAATCAACCAATGAGTGCATAAGTAATTGGAACAACAAATCAGTGTTTCCATCTCTCTCTCTCTCTCTCTCTCTCTCTCTCAACTCTATATAAATTTTTTCAAATTATTAAAAATCCCCAAAGTTAGGATTCAGAACTGACCTACACTAGAGTTCACTGCCCTCACTGGTCCGACCACCTCCCCACCCACAGTGAGGGTCTGCAGAGCCCACACAGACGGGACAGCCCACCAACGTCAGAGACCCTGGGAAACCAGGACAAACCTGTCCACCTGGTCCAGGCCAGGCACAGAGAGCGTAAGACCCTTAGCAGCACCAAGGCTACAGACAAAAACGCCTGCTTTGGAGGAATGATTCTACCTGGACACATGAACACAAAAGGTTAGCTGTGTACCTCTAAGTTCTGACATTCCTGAGCTGAGTTGGTGGGCAGACCAATCCATTTGATTTCCTTCTTCTCCTTGGAGATGATGTTCATGGCCATCAGCACATTTAAGGCATCATAGACTCGCCGTCTTATGTTCTTCTGATCATAAGCCTGGGGAAGGGGAAGCGGGAGTTTTCCACACGCTCCAGGGACAGCTCACAGATCAACGTTACACGTTAGACCCTGAACTCAAGGAAGTGCACTGTCAATCTGCTGCGTGTCATACAAACCCATGTCAGCAGCCGGCACCACTCCTAACCCATCCTCACGGAACCAGCCGGGCCAGGCCAGAGGGCATTTCTGCAGGGGGAGGTTGCCCAGCAGGCAGAGCCAGAACCACACACAAAATCATTTAGGGATCATGGGGCATCATATCTGCAAATGGGTCAGGAAAAATTCCTTTGTACTGCTCTCGGACCTCTCTGTACATCTGAAAGTGTCTCAAATAATAACACAGTGGGCTGTGCAGTGCTGGGGTGCCTGTAACTCCTGGCCGCCCCGTACCCACACCACACAAACTTACGGATTCGTTTGGTAAGATGTGGTTATCGGCGGCACTGAACTCTGCGACCAGCTCGTCGGCCACCTCATTATAGGACGTGGTTCCCTTCCTCTGCACCTTCTCACAGACCTTCATGGAGAAGTGCCTCAGGCCCTTACCGTTCTTCTCGCCCTTCCTGTTGCGTTTCCTTCAAAAATACAAAGGAGAAGTAATGCCCTTAGCATTCGTAGAGGCAGCCTTGAATTAAGACACGTTTACCTTAAGGGGCTAGCAACCTACACAGGGGCCCGAGTCCTGCGGGTGCTGGAGCTCAGCCACAGACCGCAGGGGAACCTGGCTCCGTCTCCGAAGAGCACACTCGGCACCACCATTGGTGTCCGACGTTTCCTTTCTCTCTTCAGAGGCCAGACCTCACGTCTGTATCTTCAACTCTCAGGGAAGACGGGGCAGACGCCCACAGGGATGGGACCCAGTACCTCTCTGATGGGTATCAATACACTAAACACTGCTTCTTCAAACAATGTCCATCAACATCAGGAATTATGAAAATTTTACTGCACATTTAGGACTTTTTAGGGCAAATTTAAGCTAACAGACAAGGGGAGTGCTGAAGACCGGAGTGTGCTTCCGATTAGGAGTGAACCCACATGTCTGAACTTTAAGTCACCACGTTAAGGAAAGGGCGGTTCTGAGTTTCTAACTGGATGACTTTGGGGACTGATGATTTTTGCTTAAGAACCAAAATAGACATGATTTTATAGTTCTGTCTCTCTTTGTTAGTTTTTAAAGAAAGTCGCAAAGCTGACCTTCAAATAAAACTGTTCTCAAATGGGTTTGCTTTAGTGGAAGGAAGGATCAAAGTGACAGTGTGGTGGGGCCGTCCGGTGGGACCAGCGCCATGAAAAGGCAGCTCCATGTGGCTGCAGCGGGTGAGGCTGCTGTGAGTCCATCACATTTACACGTCATCCCCTGAAAGTTACTTTCTAGTGCAGACAAGGAAAGTGCCAGGGTTACACTGTGAAGGTCAGCTCCCTCCTCTTCTTCCCCCAAAAGCTGACCACACCTTAGAGTGTAGCATAGCCATCATCCCAACTACAGGGGGGCAGCTCTCCCGCCCGTCACAGCAGAACCATCACCCCAAAACTACTGGGGGCAGCTCCCCGCCCTCCACAATATAACCATCACCCCAAAACTACTGGGGGCAGTTCTCCCGCCCTCCACAATATAACCATCACCCCAAAACTACAGGGGGCAGCTCTCCCGCCCTCCACAATATAACCATCACCCCAAAACTACAGGGGGGCAGCTCTTCTGCCCTTTACAGTATAACCATCACCCCAAAACTACAGGGGAGAGGCTCTCCCGCAGCCTGACCTCCTTTATGAGGAAAAGCGTGCCTTGACTACACATCTCTTCTGGGCACACATTGGACATTTAAAATCCTCTGGCATGACGATCAGCCCCTACGGCCACAGAGAGCTAGGGGGTTACAATTCTAGGCAATGTGCTCACCCGGCAGACCAAGGTGAGGGGTCTGAAGGCTGGTTCTGTGAGACAAAGTGAGTGTTAGGGGTGTGTGGGCTTCCTACCACGATAGTGTTTGGCGCTGCAGGTCTCTGAGGCGTACCAATTACCTACAGTCAAAAAAGACAATTCAGAACACAATCAGAAATCTCCCACATACGACGCTGCCATTTTATCATTTCTCATTACCTACAGCCGCTGTTGAATGGCAATGACCACAGATATCAGAGAGAACAATGACAATGTGAGTAACCCAACAGACGACCCTTTGAACTATGACGATATGGCCACGCTATTCTGAACGTGTCTTTATTTCCCTTCGTCAACCTCAGGCATCTTCTCTAGTTACACAACAGCAGCAGGAAACATCAGGCAGCACAAACAAGCCAGCAGAACAGCGTGCACCTCCGGGGCAGGTGCATTTAGCCGTGAGGCGTGTAAATCACATGTCCCAGGTACAGAATTCTGGGGGGGACTCAGCACATTTCTATTTTCCCTCTTTTACTTCCCTTTTAATGATATAGATAAGGATAAAAATCTATCCTTCAGGGGCGCTAAAATGAGGCCAAAACCAGAAAACAGCTCTCAGAAGAGAAGGAACACAGGGTGACTCTGTTGCACCTTTAGCTTATCCGAGTGCGGGAAGCCCATCCCAATGGTGGTTTTGTGGGGGGAACCCAAGCACCCCAAAGAGCACAGGGCAGGGGAAAGGGAAATGATCAGCATTGAGAACAAAGGCAAGGGGTCTCAATGCCCACAGCACAGCCTGGGACAAGCCCATGTCTTGGGGTGGCAGGGCCAACATGCCCCTCATAGGCTGTCTGAGCACCCAACACCCATCTCTTCACCAAAGGAAGGGAAGCCTTGCTTCATCTTTTAACAAGCACTTAGAACGGTGGTCCTATCAATTAACATTAAAATATTAACTTGGGGGACATGCAGACATTGTACAGCCAAGTAAAATTCCAACTTTTCTGGCAAATACTGTATGAATTCATTTATATGTGGAATCTAAAAAAATAAACAAAAAAAACCACTCAAGCTCAGAGGTGGGGGCGGGGAGGGGGCAAAATGAATGAAAGGGGTCACAAGGTACAAGCTTCCAGCTATAAAATAAATGTCATGGGGTAATGTACAGCACAGTTAATAATGCTGCACTGCATATGTGAAAGATGCTAACAGATCTTGAAAGTTCTCATTACAAGAAAAAAATGTATAACTATATATGATGACCAATATATAGACTTATTATGGTGACCATTTCAAAGTGTATACAAATATCAAATCGTTATGTTGTACACCTGAAACTAATATACTGTTGTATGTCAATTATAGTTCAATAAGTAAAATCTAATTTCAATTTCTTCAAAGATACTGTTGTCTGACTCTCTCAAAACTGATAAACTGGCCCAGGAAATCATTCAGAAACACTTTCTGAGTTACTACACAGCAAAGTGCCTCAGCAACCTGATGTCCCTGAACATGTTAACATCAGGCACCGAATGCTAGGGCAGCCTCACCGGCGGGCAGAGGGTCAACTGTGGCCTGAGGGACTTGCTGTGGCTGCCGCCTGGCTATTTTAAGCTGGACGCTCCTTCTAGTCCCCTTCTTAGCGGGATAAGTGTGTTACCTGCAGTGGCCCCGGGGCAGCTGACCCGGCACTTTGTAAATTATCCCTAAGCCCAGGTCACCTGTCAATGTTAATGATCCACAAATCATGGAAAGAAAGACAGCTCAAGTGAATGTCATTCTTTTCATTCACATTTCCAATGACAAGCGCTTCATCACAGTGTTTTTCAAACTGTAGATCACCCTCACTCAAAAGCCATGAAGTCAAATAAATCAGTGAATTTTCTGAAAAAATTAAACAGGATAGAGAAGATAAATCTCCCAGAGAGGAGGAATGCCTTGCGAAACTTTTGTTTCCGTTAAAAAGGTGCGTGCATTTACCATGTACGGGGCACTGGGGCACGGTGGGGAATGCACACCTGCTAAGGCCCGTGGTCCAGTTTGGGAAACATGGAGACCTGCCACTCACATTTTCCTGGACCCCGTTGGTTACATTCCCAGGAGAAGTAGGTTTAGGATGCCACCACACCTCACGTGGGCGGGCACCAGCCAGACTTACTGGCCTCGCGTGCTGCAGCTCCGCTCAGAAGAGGGCTACCTAACTTCAGGGTCAGTGCCCCACCGGACACTCGGGCTGGGCCCTGAGACCAATGCCCTCTCTATTGTCCTCTCCCTAACCTGCGTCTCTTCCTCAGACCAACTGTTCTGCAATGAGAACGGAAAGCCAGAGGGCCAGGCACACAGCAAGGGCTCAGTAACTGCTCACTGTGCGAACAGCCTTCCTAAATGACAGGATAGGTGAGCGAGGAGGGCTCCTTGCACCCACTGGCATCACCCACATCTTCGTGGAGGAGTGGAGGCCAGCAGCACCTGCGGGTTTTCTCTCTTTGCTTTTTTATTTTCACTATTTTACATGGAGATTTTGCCCCATGGGGAACACCTCCATCTGGGCTGTGAGCCGAACACCCAGACCACCGATTAGGTGATGTGGAAAGACCTAACAAGCCTCACGTTACATTTCCACTCACATGAAGTTCCATGAAGTCTCACCTCTCATGTCAGAATCAGCCAGTCCTCTTTGTTTTTAATTCCTTGGTATATAATGTTTTAAGAGACATTTGCAAAGTATAGGCTTTAATTCACAGTCCTGGGGTTTTGCAAAGGATACATTACCACTACTAGCTCCACCCAAAACAGCTTGATTCAAATCAGTGATTTAACTTTTGGACTGACAAAGTTTAGGGTGCACCAACAGAAAATCTCCCCGTTATTTTCTTCCCAACTATTTACACTTAATAAAAATAGAACTGTTCCTATAATTAATGAGGTACTCCCAAGCTAAATTCTGCTATAATATACAGTACTTTAAAATGTTAATTATAAATTAAAACATAAAATGGAATATTAGCTTATACCAAAAAGACATTTACTGAAAAACTATGATGTGCCAAATGTGTCTACATACTATCTTTGAAAAAAAAAAAATCACAGCCATTTTGCTAAGTAAACATGGCCAAATTTTATTGAGGGGCTGACAGGGAGCAATTATATATCTGCCAAGGGTGATCACCTGGAATGTGAACAAGCTCTGGTGGTGGTAACACCCTTCTCTTCTCATGGAGGCGCATGGCCCAGGAGTAGGAATGACTTCAGCCTAACCAGAGTCACGGCCGGAAGAGGGGGAACTGTTCGGATGGGGGGTAAGGGGGGCAACATGGGCTAAGGGGCCCACACAGTCCCGGGAGAGCAGATCCACCTCTGGCCCCTCCCATGGAACTGGCAAGGGCGAGGACACACCTGTCACGCAGTACCCTGATGGCCTGCAGAGACCTAACCCCACGTGACCTGAACACGGACACCACCCTCGTTTCCCTGGCAGGTAACATCCACCCTAAGGAGCGCCAGAGCCAAGGTGCAGCCAGCCCCCACACAACTCCATGCCGCCCCACCTGAGCTCTCCATGGCACACCTAAGAAACCTGCAGGGCAGATCCAGGACCGGCAGGGAGCACGTAGCGACAGGGCAAGCTGCCTGGCCTGGGCTGAGTCCCACCATCCCCCGCACACAGGGGAAGGCCAGCCAGCAGCAGAACACAGAAGCATGGGGGAGACCACCTGCGATCTCCGAGGAAGGCGACCGTCCTAGCATTGCGAGCATTCAACAGGAAACTGCGAAAGCAAACCTCACACTCCACATCCCAAGCTGGAACCTAAGGGTCACGGTCCCGAACCCACAAGCCCACCCTACCTGGGGCCCCTTACCACTTGCTGTGTAATGTTGACATTGGATGACTGTCCGAACGTTTTTGGCAAGAGCTGCTTCCCAAGCGTGTTTACTGTGGAGGGGTGAACAGCTACTAAGGACACAACACCTGCAACGCAAGGAAACGAGAGGTTAGTTCTTTGCTGAATTAAGGCTAATAGTGAGATTCAGGTCAGTGATGCTTCTAATTAGAAAGTCCTTCCCCACTTTTACCATTTTAGATCTATGGATCAATAACACACACCTTTACTACGCTCAACTCTCATTTAAGGGGGGCTGATGGACACAGCGGCTTGCTCTCCCTACAATTAGCCCCTCTATGGGGCCGGGGCTCAGGTGCCCACAGGCTTTATCACCAACCTGCCTCAAACCCCTGTCAGCCCATCTACAGAATGTGCTGGTGGGACTACAGGCTGTAGAGATAACAGCTCTTAAAAGGCTCTAATTCTATGACAATCACAGAACAGAATACGCTCAGGTGAGAGCTCCGATGACTTCCGGGCCTTTACCACACGAGAAGAGGAGAGACTCCTGTTCGGGTCATGCCGCGAGACCCTTCTGGTTTCCCTAAAGCAGACCAGCTGGGAGCCACCTATCCTCTCGGGGTTTGGAAGTGGTGGTTCTGCGACCAGGCCTCACACGGGGCCGGCATGCCATTTTCCTTCATTTCCACCCAGTTCAGCATCACGACGACCTCCAAATAACCAGTGAGGCCTCGTCTTCAATGTAGCCTGGCCTAAAGTTTCACTGAACCCTTTACAATCCATGCATTTTAAAGAACAGACCTCTTCAAAATTCAATAACCAATGAATTTTGCTGCTACATAGAAACACATTAATTTCTCTTTAATAACCGAAATTGACCAACCTGAATATCTAACCAACAGAAACATATTTAATTTATTTTCTGTAAATAAGTATCTGTTTTGAATTTTTTATGTTCCTCTAAAAATAGAGATCTGCAGGGTGGGGCAAAAGTAGGTCTACAGTTGTGAGTACACAAAACACAGAGTTTGCCTGCTACATAGAAACACATTAATTTCTCTTTAATAACCGAAATTGACCAACCTGAATATCTAACCAACAGAAACATATTTAATTTATTTTCTGTAAATAAGTATCTGTTTGGAATTTTTTATGTTCCTCTAAAAATAGAGATCTGCAGGGTGGGGCAAAAGTAGGTCTACAGTTGTGAGTACACGAAACACAGAGTTTGATCTTGTATTATTATTATTATTATTAAGTACTAGAGGCCCAGTGCACAGATTCCTGCACCGGTGGGGTCCATTGCACCGGCGCACAATTGGGGCGGGGAGGGACCACAGGAATTGCTCCAGGGCGTGTCCAGCCAGTCTCACCCAGTCCCGATGGGGCCTACTGATCGAAGCATCTGCCCCCTGGTGGTCAGTGCATGTCATAGCTGCCAGTCAAACAGCTGAATCATCAAACAGTCGCTTAGGCTTTTATATATATAGACTAGAGGCCTGGTGCACAAAAATTTGTGCACTCGGGGGGTTGGGGGGGACGGTTCCTCAGCCCGGCCTGTGCCCTCTCGCAGTCTGGGACACCTCAGGGGTGATCACCTGCCGGCTTAGGCCCGCTCCCCAGGGGATTGGGCCTAAGATGGCAATCAGACATCCCTCTGGCAGCCCTCGGGGGATGTCCACTTGCCAGCGGGGAGCAGGCCTAAACTGCAGTCGGACATCCTTAGCGCTGCTGAGGAGGCAGGAGAGGTTCCCACCACCACCACTGTACTGGCAGCCATCAGCCTAGCTTGTGGCTGAGCAGAGCTCCTCCCATGTGAGAGCGCCCTGACCACCAGAGGGCAGCTCCAGCATTGAGCGTCTGCCCCCTGGTGGTCAGTGTGTGTCATGGTGACCAGTCATTCCCAGTCCTTCTGCTGTTAGGGTCAGTTTGTTTTTTTTGTTTTTATTTTTATTTTATTTTTTTTGTTTTTTGTTTTTTTTTAGGGTCAGTTTGCATATTACCCTGTTACTATATAGGATAGAGGCCTGGTGCACGGGTGGGGGCCGGCTGGTTTGCCCTGAAGAGTGT